TAAGTTTTATATTATTAAATAGGTATTAATATAAACAATATACAAATTTAATAAATGTCAATTAGAACGTAAGCTTTTTTCATTCAGTAAGCAAGTTTCTTTTTTTCTTTTCTTTTTTTTTTACCTTTTTCCTTCATTTAGATAGTATAATCATAGAAAGTAAGGAAACGATTAGATTGGAGAGAGAGGAATGGTATCTGGAAAAGCTGTAACTTGAACTTGGATCGGACAAATCGCTATTGTGCCATATGGAGTGCTATGACTTCAACATTTTTGATTTCTAGAAAGCTCAGATAAGGAACAGATCTTCCTTATCTGTTATTTGGAACTTCAGACTACAAACTTTCATTTAAGTCTTCTCTCAGCTTAGAAAAAGGTGTGGCAAATTCCTACAACTCTGTACATACTGTAACAGACAAGAATGACTCTGATTATATCCTGTAATGCTGATGGAAATCTGCTAGCAATGGTTACTTCAAAAGCATGAGCTCTGGCACAAGCAGGCAGCTCTGCACTAATGTAAAGATATTAGAAAGATGCTGTAAAGAGTTGACAAATGGTATTACAAGCACATACTGATCTTCACCCCAGCAGTTATGTTCTAGTTCACATTCCTACAGTGATACGCATCATGGTGGGTCATATGTGGTGCAATTTCCATTAATCCTACTACACTTTCTAGCGTAATTTTGTTCAATTCAAAACATTCCTACTACGGAGACAAAGTCAATTAAATTACGAAAAAGGCATTTATATGATTACAATCACACTGCAAATTAAACTTTGCAGCTCTGGAAGCTACATATGAACTAGTTTAGTCACGGAGTAACTCATATTCAGGATGTCTGTATGTTTAATATAATTAAATTTAAGAAATGAAGTTTTAAAAAGAATGTAAGTTTAATATATGTTTTTATTATTATTTGAAATTGTCATCATCCCTCTTGTAAACATCTATTTCATTCTTATCAAGTTCCCACAAATTATAAAGTTACTCATCATGACTCACAGACATACAGATGGATATTATGAAGCAAATGTGTGTTCAAAATAAGTTTGAAGACTCACGATGGCCAAGATGAAAGAATGGTTTATTTTGTCTAATCTTATTGTTTTTATCTTTTCAAATCAGCTGGCAAAGATTTTTTTCACCTGCATATTCTTTTCTGCAGTTACAGTTTGGTCTGGCTTCAATGATTTAGATTTTGTTTTATGCTGCTGTTATATATATATATATATATATATATATATATATATATAGACAAAGTACTGTGGGTTTCATCATAAACATTGCTTACATAAATAATTTTCTTGTGATCGCCACAAAACAGAAGCTGTTTATTTAATATATTATTTATCCACTTTTTTTCGGAGTAACCAACGAGCGCCATCATGATGGATTTCAACTTCTGTTTGGATGCTGTCGGTTTCCAGTCTCCATAAAAATTCATGTTAAAACAAGGTAAAATGATGGCACCAAGTGATTTTTAAAACCATTTTCATAGGTTTGACATTATATTATCTGCTTGGAAAATGCGTTCATTTGACTATGTAATGTAAAGCATCATTCCAGAATGAGTCGGGTGAGACTTTTCCTGAATTCAGGAAAAAGGTGGATAAAAAAAACTTTATTTCAATTAAGATATTTCAATATACCTTAAAGGGTTAGTTCACCCAAAAATGAAAATTAGCCCATAAATTACTCACCCTCAAGTCATCCTAGGTGTATATGACTTTCTTCTTTCAGACAAATCCAGTCGGAGTTATATTAAAAATTGTCTTTGATCTTTCAAGCTGTTTCATGGCACTCAGCGGGTGTTGCATGCATCAGTCCAAAAGCACTTAATTAAAATGCGCCCATCCATTAAAAAAAAAAGTGTCTCACATGGCTCCGGGGGGTGAACAAAGGTCTTCTGTAGCGAATCAATGCGTTTTTGTAAGAAAAATATCCATATTCAAAACGTAATAATCCCTTTAATGTAGCTTGCTGCCGAAATGTGTTTTAAATTCACACTGAATGCATTTATGACTGTAAAGCATGTCTGTGTGTGTCAAAATCGTGATTAAAATCGAAATCGCAAAATTGATCAAATAAATTGCGGTAGTGTTTTTTTGTCCATATCGCACAGCCCTAATATACACCTAGGATGGCTTGAGGGTGAGTAATTTATGGGCTAATTTTCATTTTTGGGTGAACTAACCCTTTAACAATATACAGTGAAAATTCGTATTTGGGTCATATTCCAAGACGTAGGCTAGAGTCTGATTGCGAAGTACATTAAATATCCACACCGGTGCAGTGACAGACTGCCACACATACTCTTCAGAACATCAGATTCATCCGCACTGGAGCTGTGCCGACTCACAACCCACGCAAGCTAGATAATTCCGCACCCAGCTGCAATTCCAGGTTTTCAAACAGAGATGTCGACAAAGAGGCAAAACTTACGGACTGCAGCTTTAACTTAAAAGTATTTTTTTTTCTTCTTTTTATTGATCTGGAGGTAACAAAAGCTACTTCTTAACCAAGGACTCAAGCTGAAAAATCTCTGATATTTGAGAAAGAGTCTACAACCATATCCTAACACTATAGTCGCTCTCAACATGTTTTCAATTTCATATAACCAAAAAAAGACGCAAAATAATGCTTCTGGAATATATAGGCTAAGTAATAGTAAAACAACTATATTGATAATGTTACCTTTCCTGTTGTAACCTCCAAAACAATAAGCATACATCTGTCTTTAACCGTGAAAATACAGTAATAAGAAATGCTTCTTGAGCACCAACTCAACATATTAGAATGATTTCTGACGGATCATGACACTGAAGACTGAGTAAAACAAAATGTATTAAAATAAAAAAATAATTTTAAATTGCAATAATACTTCACAATATTACTGTTTTACTATATTTTTGATTAAATAAATCCAGCCTGAATGAGCATAAGAGACTTTCAAAAACATTCCAAAAAACTTACAAATTCCAAACTTTTAAACAGTAGTGTATGTTTATAGATATATTTAATTATATTTACTTCTATATTCAAAAGTCAACAGAATTCCAAATGGAATGCTGCTGAAAAAACTTTGGAACTCACCATAGTCAATGGGTGCAACATAGACAGGAAATGACCTCACTTTTCCACGCCCTCCTTCCACTTCCAACCAGATTTTGTAGCAGGAGAACAGACTAAGATTTCTTAAAGTGCACTCTCTGTGGTCTCCTGCTCCAGATGGACACTCCATGTTTTCTTCAGCTTCTTCGCTGCCCTCCATCTCTGATATGGTCTCACACATTGATGTATATTGTCTACAACAAAAAGTAATATCTTAACCATCTTTGCAATAAACAATCTGGCTGATGAACTATGACTGTGTTCATACCTGTAAAGTAGTCTGACTTGTGCCCAAGCGCTCTTATTCCACTCACAGCTCATGGTGTCCACCTCTGAATTCTTGCTCTGGCAGGTAAAATCTGCATTAAACATCCCTAAAAAAAAGAGCCAATTTGACATTTTCTAGTTTTTAAAAAAAGCAAAAAAAATTACATTTCTGTTTAGAGATGTCCTCCATAATTCAAAGCTTACCTTCGGTGTATATTTTGGCATAGGCGATGATGCACTTGAACCTCTCTCCCCACTGATGGCAGCACATCAGAGTATCAAACCCTGGTTCATCTACCGTCACAGTGACTGCGCTAACCTGCTCGTTGATTACCCTGTACTGGCTTTCCGGAATCTTCACCTGCCCGTTAAGCATCCACACAGCTTTACTAGCACTCCAGCTGCGGTTGTGGAAGACGGCATAAACCGTTACCTGGGACCCTGGTGTCGTGAAGATTTCAGCAGGGATGTAACTGACTTTAAGGAGCAGAGAAAGATAGAGAAAAATTTAAAGAAGGCGTTTTTGTGCAGTAAACATGCAAATAAATAAACCAGACTTAAAGGGATAGTTGACCCCAAAATGAAAATTCTGTCATTTATTTCTCACCCTCATTTCGTTCCAAAACCGCAAGACCTTCATTCACCTTCAGAACACAAATTAAGTTTTTTTTATGAAATCCGAGAGCTTTCTGACCCTGCATAGACAGCAATGCAACTATCACATTCAAGGCCCAGAAAGGTAGTAAGGGCATTGTTAAAATAGCCCATGTGACATCAGTGGTTCAAGTTACATTAGTAGTTATGTTGCTGTCTATGCATGGTCAGAAAGCTCTCGGGTTTCATCAAAAAAATCTTAATTTGTATTCCGAAGATGAACGAAGGTCTTACAGGTTTGGAATGACATGAGGGTGAGTAATTAATGACAGAATTTTCATTTTTGGGTTAACTATCCCTTTAAGAATAGCATGTGGCATATCAGCAAGTGGGCGAATCTCTTGACAACATATCTGGTTCAATTTTCATCCCAAAAAAGTAAGAAATTATATTGCATGAAGAAAATTAAGCCTATTTTTGTACCATTAAGATTTATACCATTGTGACCTTATTTTCATAAAAACCAAGCATATTTCTCCCAAAATTAACAATATCATAATACAGCTGAAAATTTTACTTAATTTACATTTTTCATTCTTAATCTTTTATTTACATCTTTCATTCTCATCATTATTCTTAATTATGATTTTAATCTTTCAACACTGTAAAACAGTAGTTTTTACTGTATTGTACTGAAATTACTGCAGTAAAATGTTTGCAACATGCACTAAAGGCACAACAAATACTACTAATATACAACTTTAAATCTGAAATTTAGTAATAATGATAATAATAATTTACAAATATAAATACTGGATTGCAGTAACAACACATATGCTTAAAATAATAAACTTACAATGCACAAAAAATATTTTTGTTTGCTTTTAGGATGAAATATGACCTAGACATGCTTCTGACAGGTGTTGAGATTCACCCTTGTATTGCTTTTTATTTTCCCTCGTTCCCATCTTGGTCCCTTGCAGGAAAAAGAAAGTGGGTTTATTTTAATGCTAGTGAACAACCTGAAGCTTAGTTGCTATGGTGACTTGCGCAACATGGATTCTGAAAATATACAACCCAACTGGCATATCAGAAAAACAATGCATGATCCTCCTTGAAAAAGCTTACAAACACAAACACAATGACAGGTGCTACATGAGTAATGCATCAAAGTAGGAAAACAGAGACAGAATCAAGTCTCTCGTGATGTTAAATCAAGCTGAAACAGTTTAAACATTAACTAATATGCAGACAGCCCAAAGTGCAGATAAGTGCAGCATTAGTTGGCAGCAGTATTTCAGACTGGCTACTGCACTAAACTAATATATTTTTTTCAAACGTATATATTACTCATGGGTACTGCTGTGGTGCAGGCATTTGAAAGCAAATGAAAAAAAAAAAGAATAAGAAATAAATAAGCACCCACCTGATTAGTGTTAGTAAATAATTAAGATAATATATAAAGCTCTATTCTACCACAGGACAGTGTTTATATGTTACGGGTTATCTCTAGTAAGATTTTTTTTTAGAAGTTGCTTAACGCTTCAAAATAATGCTAATTTTATATAATTTTACACTAAATAACCACTAAAGATAGATACAGTGCTCACATTAAACTTCAACGAATTTAAGAATCTTTTATTGGCCTGAGACTGAACATGATGCCAAGCAAAATACTTTTAATATGCAAACTGGTGTTTCGTTTGAATTATGAAGGGTTTTAACAAAAAAAAAATGTTTACAAGGAGGAATCTAAACCTCATTAATAAACCCAACAATGACAAGGTAAAAGAACTCAAGGACAGTACATACTCTGGCCTCATAAAAATTTACAACACATACAATACTCTATTGTCATCTAAGAATGAATCTAAATATTTGATTGTATTTTTAAATTGGTAATTATGGGCATGAAAAATTGGTTATTTTATGTAAATGTGTACACTACCCCAATTGTACAGTGTTGATCTGGTTTAAAAATATTAAGTATAACATATACCTTGCGAATGCAATATTTGACCTCAGTTAGCAAGCAAATGGTATATTAATGCTTTCTCAAAACATTAGAAAACTGACTGTTTAGCATTGTAATTAATTCTGAAAATGAACAGTGAATTGGATGCATCTTCAAGAGGACAAATCAAAGAGATATTGTGAGTGCACAGCAACAAGCAAAAGCACCATACAGATGCAAAGTAGCAAAGTATACAGTGGGGCAAAAAAGTATTTAGTCAGCCACCAATTGTGCAAGTTCTCCCACTTAAAAAGATGAGAGAGGCCTGTAATTTTCATCATAGGTATACCTCAACTATGAGAAACAAAATGAGAAAAAAAAAATCCAGAAAATCACATTGTAGGATTTTTAAAGAATTAATTGGTAAATTCCTCGGGAAAATAAGTATTTGGTCACCTACAAACAAGCAAGATTTCTGGCTCTCACAGACCTGTAACTTCTTATTTAATAAATTCTTTAAAAATCCTACAATGTGATTTTCTGGATTTTTTTTCTCATTTTGTCTCTCATAGTTGAGGTATACCTATGATGAAAATTACAGGCCTCTCTCATCTTTTTAAGTGGGAGAACTTGCACAATTGGTGGCTGACTAAATACTTTTTTTCCCCACTGTATACAGTATGAATGTAATTATCAAACGTCAAACTCTTAAAGTGGAGGCTTAGGGAAGACAATGGATCTCTCTGAAAGATAAATATAACAGGAACAGCAAAAGCACTCATTTGCATGAAGTTTGACATACACTAAAAGCCACTTTTAGACTGAATGATGTTAGGTTAAATGTGTCCACCTGTGCACTCTGTTGTTGAGAACAGAAGGCTGTCAGTCATGGGAACATGAGCATACCAGGCAGCAATATTTTGAGTACCCTTTCATAAATGCCAGTATTTGCATATATTTACTTATTCACTATACCTTACAAGTCATTAAATGGGAGGAGGTCTTTGATTCTGGAACTATATGAATTAATTACCAAATGTATGCGTATACCACATAAACAGAATTAGTACGTAAAATTCATGAATTGCAGATCCTTACTATCCAGTGTGACATAGAAGGGTTGGCTCCATTCACTCCAGTAGTTGATATGGCTTTGGCAGCGCACTTGGACCATGTATCTGATCCCAGAACTCAGCTCATTCAGAGAGACCCAGGAACGACCTTCGACCCTCACCACCTAAAAGAGCCATAGTTCAAAGATTCATTCACACTGTGTAGTAGGTCTGTGCGATATTGGAAAAAAATGCGATATTCGATATGCGATACAATATTGCTTAAAGTGTGAAAAATCTATTTAAATTATATTTAAAAATATTTAAAAATGAAAATTATATAACCAATTTGTTTCACATTCTTTCTTGGAAAAGAAAGAATCACTACAACTTCTGAAAGTGACCAGCAGTGTTTTAGCATTACATAAAAAGTAATGTCACAAATCAGAAAATGTAATTTTAACATCAATGTGAACAAACAAACAAAAAAATTAATGACACTAATTTTATATCATTGTGACTTTGCTTTCCATACACTTTAAGTACTTCTTCATATACCACAGCAAAAACTATAGTCTGAGAAAGTTCAAACATGTTAAAAGGCAAGTGAACAGTCAGTAAAAAAAGAAAGAAAAAGAACAAATACACAATTTACAAGCATAGATAAAATAAACAGTAGTATTCAGGTACAGAAATTTAATAATTAAGTGTAAAATAACACTGCATTGTGTTCACTGTATGAATTAAATTTAGATTAATCTTTGTTATAGCCGTTTTGATGTTTGATTAACATTAGGGACATATTCAGCTGCACGTATTTATAGGCTGCTGTCCCTTTAAAACCGACTGCACGGATCCAGTATAATGATACACGATTTGCTACGATTTCTTTCTTTGCACGTGTGCGGCAGAAGAGACACTGTGTGAGATGCGACTTGTGCGCGCGCTTCAGGTGTGAGTCAGACAGCAAGAGGAGACGAAGTGTTGTTTTCTGCAACTTATTACACTTAACTCTTTTTAAGGGCAAGCAATTCTCTGCTATATGCGTCGAACTAAAACGTTGACCTTTTGCAATGTTTTGATTTAAGTAGCCTATTATTAAAATTATTCAGATATCGCACGCCGTTGCGATATGCATATCGAGATTTTTACATTTGCGATATTTCGATATATCGTGCAGCCCTACTGTGTAGGTTAAACAAATAACTATAGCCTAGCAGAAGATGTGAGTAATAGTCAAAATATTTTTATAAAGGTCAATTATAAAACCCTTTCACATTTTCTTTAACAATTATGTGGGGAAATCTGCAGAAACTTGCTCATTTAAATATGTTAGATTAATTTAATTGAGATTTAACAGTCATTAAAACAGTATTCATATTCATAGTTTTTTTATATATATACTATGGATATATGATGATATAATATGTTGATATTATACATTTCTGTAAACCCTTTTAGTTTGAGATGTACAAATCAATTAAAATCCCCTGGAGACTGGTTGGAACTAAAAAAAGTGTTCATAAGTAAAAGGGTTTACATTTTAGATGCTGTCAATATGTTGAAATTGTATATTTTAGAGTCTATCCAAATATACAAAAATGTATGCGAGTTAAAAATCACACTTTTGAGACAAATACAAAATGCAATGAGATCATTGGATAAAGATAGCTGTCTTTGTCAGGTGAAAGGTACATTTAAATCACTTTAATCATCAACCATGCAAGAACTTATGCTTGTATAGAATTGTGTGTATTACAGTAATTCTGATTCTGTGAAAACCTGCAAAGCTTTCTGTGGCATTCTCTGGGAGCCCGTTACAGTTCTCACAAATATTACTTTGTAATGTTATTACAAAACATTCATCACACCAACAAATTAGTTAAATTACCTCCCACTGCTGAAGTGAGGAATTGGATGCATATCGGATCTCAAAGTTTATGGCATCACTGTTAGGTTGTGCATCACTCCATCTGAATATTACTTCGCCTTCAGTCGTCACATCGTAATGCAGATTGACAGGTGGCTCTGGTCTTCCTGTGAAAGGAGGATATGTACAAAATATTTATAAATACCTGTAAAAGTAATCATGATTAACCAAAATGACCATAAAAAAGCCTGTAAGGACAACAGCTCTATGTCTAGACATCTCAAAGGTAGGACATAGTCTCATAACGATAATAAGTCTCATAATTTTTTTAATGATCTTTATGAGATGTTGTTTTTGACATTTCACCATTCATGAGAGGGTCTTCAACGGCTGTTATCAGAGGGTGGGGAATCGACTGCATTATGTCAAAAAGTGGTGGAGGGTGTGAATACGACAAAAATCACCAGTTTAACATCTTCAGATGACATAGTTTCACAGGGGAATCCCCATTCTTGAAGACTGGCAAAACATCTTTAGCCAATGGAAAACCAAGACAGATGCCTCCAATTAAATTTATTCATTCTACAAAGGTCCGATGGTGAACAATTTAGAGAAATTAAGAGAGAATGTGAGCAAAATTGAGAACTCCATTTCCAGGTTGTCCATTCACAGTTGTCTTGTGCCTTTTGATGGTATTTTGAAGTTTTAAAAAAAACATACGTATATATCTGCTATCCATATTCAAGTATTATCTGCACAAAGTATTTATGTCTGCCTAGAACAAGATGGCCTCAGCAGCCACTGCTTTGTAAAAAAAAGGCAAAGCAATTTTATTTATTTTAATAATAGCAATACCATTAATACTAATCAGTTGAGGCAGTCTTTATTAACAGACTAACGTTATCTTTAAAAACCCCAACCTCAATGACACTGACACATTATAAAATAAATGGTTCCCTGCTGTTGCAATTAATGCAAATAGGCTTACACTGATTGGACTTTTTATTCATTTACTGTCATTTAGTTTGTAGCATTCAACAAGCGTTCAATGTACTTCAAAGAAAAGAAGGAAGTGAAAATGTCAGAACAAATTGTTTACTTAAAATCAAACCTAAAGTAATCATTCACTTACAAAAAGATAAATCTAATATAATTTACTTATTGTTATGTAATTCCAAACCCCTGACTTTCTTTGCTCCATGGAACACAAAAGGGGTTATTTTTCAGAATGTCCAGACTGCTTTTATCCATGAAATGAAAGTAAATGGTGACCATGTCTGATTTTCAGATTTTTAGTGAATAACACTTACATTTCTTTTTTCTTACAAAAAAAGGTTTGTAAGTCCTCAGAAAACTTGAAATATAGTGAGCGTCACATTAAGTAATTTAATTATGGTTTTTTTTTGTGTTTTTATAACGTTTTTTAATGAGCTTTTTTCTCCTTTCTGGAGTTTGACAGCTGCTGGTTTGGATATTTCACTAAAGCTTGGAACGACATGAAGGCAAGTAAATGTTGACAGAGTCTTAATTTATTTACTGAGTATCCCTTTAAAGGGGTCATATGATGCTTTTTTAAAGATCATTATTTTGTGTATTTGGTGTAACAGAATATGTTGACATGCTTTAATGTTCAAAAAACACATTCTTTTTCAAATACTGTACATTATTGTAGGTCCTCTATGCCCCGCCTCTCTCAAATGCTTTGTTTTCAACAAAGCCCCCTCCTTCTGACAAGCGCAGTCTGCTCTGATTGGCCAGCTGACCCAGTGCATTGTGACTGGCCGAACACCGCAAGCACTCATCGAAAATGTAACGCCCCTTCAAAATAAATGTAAAGACAGAGCCCGAAAGGGGAACAGAGTCGCGTGACAGACACAGTGATGAAGCTGGTATGTGTTTGCAGTACACAAGCCACGGTTAAGACAGCTGACTCCACTGTGATGTGATGCTCTCTCTCGCTCTCTCACACACACACACGCACGCGCGCACACATGCACACACACACACACGATGAGCAAAACTCTGCATTTGAACAGTCAATAGCAAATACTTAAACTAATAACAAAACAGTAGTTGATTCAGAAGGGCCAGATTGTCATAGCAAAGGCAGAATTTCCTCCTCTCCTAGGTTCACAAAACGGTCGTCCATAAAATGCATTGCTGTTCTGTTGTAAGTAATCTTAAAGATTCCTAAATGCATCTACTTTCAGAAGGCCAAATAAAGTGCTTTTGCTTTCTCCTAGAAACACACAGCGTCTTGATAAAGAATATCTCTTTGGTTTTGAGACTTTAGTCTTTGCAACTTCAGGGACTTTATCTATGCACAATCAGCTTGTAACACTCCAAAGAGAAAGGAAAACTTGAAATCGCATCATATGACCCCTTTAATCTCACTAATTTTACTAATATGTTACACAATCTTGCTTTGTTAAACAATTTTGTTGTACCTGTACAATGACTAAAAAAGAGCTTGACTTAAGGTTTGGACCTGGTGAGACGTTTAACCATGCCATTGTGAAATTCCATTTCAATCCACTGCCTGGAAAAACACTTGAGAGACAGATGTGTATTCTTTAGCCTCCAGTCCCAAAGAACAAACACACCCTAATAAAACACCTGTTGCCCTGGTATCAGTCTCCATGAACTCACGGGCTACAGTCATTACAGGTTACTGTGAAGATGAATTTTAGTTCATAATATATTTTCACAACTTTTTCTTCACAAAAAGTAACATGCTACAAGCTGTATGATCAGTCATTCATCATTTATGCAAATGTACCACTGTAATATTTTACATTGGCCAGTAAATGAAGGAAACTTATGATTATCATAAACAATATACAAAATGTTTGGCCATTTCTACTTGCGTTATCAAACTAAAACAACAGTTTAACTCAATCAACAACACTTTAAATCAATCATGAACAAAAAAATGTAGCAGTTTTCCTCGAGAAAGGTTTATGTTATGAGACCATGTTTAAGACCTATACGTAAAAAAGAAAGGAAATAACTAAATCTGCAGTACATTTTTGCCAAAAGGAAACTCAGCACTTCTAGGAACTTTACAGCCCTCAAAGTAAACATGGGCAGGAATGAAGGAAATGAAATAGCTGGTTGCTCTCTGATAACATAAGACTAACAAAATCAGCATTATTCGCAGAACTGTTCTGGACCTTTCCATTCAGTCAGCAGAAGCTAAGCAATCAGATTCCAGTTTTTACTTAATGATTTCACAATGACAGAGCGATAGAATGATAGAACAACAGATAGACTGACAGAATGGATAGAATGATAGATACAACAACAAAACGACAGAATGATCGAACAATAGACAGAACGACAGACAGAACAATACAACAATAGACAGAACGACAGACAGACAGACAGACAGACAGACAGAACGACAGACAGAACAATACAACAATAGACAGAACGACAGACAGAACAATACAACAATAGACAGAACGACAGACAGACAGACAGACAGACAGA